AGAGATTCGCCCCGATCGTCAAACCACTGCAAGTCGCAAGGCGAGGACTAATAATTGTAGCATGTTCCAGTGTCAATGAGTGGTCCTCTATCTTATGAACTTATTTCTTGGATTTATTTTCCATATTCAAATGTTTGGTTGAAAAAATCGTAATTGACCGTCGTTCCATTTCGTGAACATGCCAATACAATCGTTGGATTGTCATAAATTTTAAATAGAAGTTTTTGAACTTTAATACTTCGAAAATTTGATATTTAATTAAAATCTGATGTTAGATTGCGTATTTATTTAGCTTCTAGATGTGTAGTTTAATTCAAATTCCAATGCATATTCTGTTTTTGTTTTGATGTTTAATGTGTATAATATTCAATTAATGTCTCCCATTAAATATGTGAATTTGTTAATATGCACATTTTAATTTATTAATTTATTTAACTTCCTCCAATTATATCCTTATAAATGTACCTAAATGAAAAAACATTCAAAAAATAAAAATAATGACAAATAAGAAACATGTAAATATATAAGTGTACCGAAATATATTAAAAGGAATTGATGTATCTAAATGTTTATGACGTACTTAAATGTCGATACCGAAACATATTATATTAAATTAACGTACTTAAATGTCTGTACCGAAATGACCATACTAAAATATATTAAATGAATTAATCTACCTTGATTACCGCACTTCCCAGGTTGAGCTGTAGGGCCAGACTTCAATAAAGGGCCTTCACCTCCTCCTACATTCAAATACCTAAAATAAAGATGATCATAGAAAATGTGAAATATTTGATAGGATCCATTTTGGAAACGCCGAATACCGAAAATATATTAAAATGAATTGATGTACCTAAATGTTTGTACCAAAATATAAGATGTACTTAAATGTCTGTACCAAAATTTATACCGAAATAACTATACTAAAATATATTAAATGAATTAATCTACATAAATGCAGAACACAAAGTGTATTGAAACATAGTTTACCTAAACAACCATAACAAAAAAAAAAAAAAATATATATATATATATATATAATTAAATGAAGAAAAAGAAAAATAATATAATTATGAGGTTACTAAATGTATTAAGGGACTAAATTTGATTTTAATCTTACACAATGTTTTAGTTTGAAAGTTATATTTTTTTTAAGGATTAGAATTCAGTTTTGTATTTTAAATATGTTATTGTTGGTACTATGTGTGACTTGCAGAAACTTACGTATGTGAACCTGAAGTTCGTAGACTTTAGATCAAAGATTTTAGGGTTTAGGACCCTGGGGGCGCCGCTTTAACCAAAGGGTTGACTATCTATCAGTGTTCCCCATAACATCCTAGCATCTCATCATCAACGTATACGTTTCAGATTTGACAGTTGTTCAACTTGATCTCAACTTGACTGGCAAAGCAATAATATGGGTTAAACAAAACGAACAAATTCACGCAAACAACTAAAAAACTCATAATGAGCAGAGGAATGAAACAAAAAACAAGGAAAAATCAAAAGACGCACCTAATACCTTGTGTCTCCAAATTACTTTGCCTGTAGAACACTGAAGCACAAGCTGTTTGCTTATAAAGCTAACTGCGTACGTATGCCTTCTTTTCCCTTTCTAAGTAAAACTGAGTAATGGGAAATTGAAATTGTCAAAAAATGAAATCGAGAGGCACGGGAAACAACGAAATTGACAGAACGTAATATTATTTTTTTTCTTTTGATTTTCGGATTCGACTTTTCACTTTTATAAGTAAAGGAAAGTAGATTAAGCAAAGGAAGGTTGCTGTGATGAAGAAACCAAAACCAGACAACAGAAGGGCAATGGGAAGAATAACTCTCTTAGCAGAAGAAGATGAGATAAATAATGCATGAGAAAGATAACGTGGTACGACAGAGAAATGCAATTAAAAAAGACCAAAAGTGAGGACTTAGTCTGGTATATGGTTGGTAAGAAATGGCTGTCTTAGTTGACGTCAATCTTAAATTAAAACTTAATTTTCATGGCAATTATTTAGCACTTTAGCGTGGGAATCTACACCAATTATTTAGCACATTTGATTCCTCGACGACATTGCACTGGCTGTAATAGCTATGAAAATAATTTTATTTTATTCTATTATGTTGGGGTTTGAATCTGATTCAAGCAAGCACTTGACCAGTAAGTCTTTTAAGTTGATCAGTAAGCCTCAGCAGGTCGCATGATCACTTGATCAGAAAGCCTCTGTTAGCTATCCACTCATTGTTGAAATTTAAGTTAATTTATCATTAATCAACGTAATGCTATGGTTTAGTTTTTCAGTTACCCTTTTAATTAAGTTGTTCCAATTGTGTATGTCTGTATGTATGTATGTATGTATGTATGTATACACACACACCGAAACTTGGACATGTCAGCAACGTGGAGTTTTAGTGGGCTCAACACCTACCACGCTAACAGTTAATAGACAAATTGATGGGTAAGCAAACGAGGTCCGACATTGCAATAAATTTGTAAGTTGATGTATGACATTCCAATGTTTAAAGATGAGGTATGAGTTTGTTACGTGACTCAAAGTTGAGATGTTATAATGTCATTTTCTCTTTTTTATTTTTTAATAAATGGGTGTGGAAGTGGGCGCGCTCAATGCCCCATTATCACTTAACAATCGATTTGACAAAAATTTTTAACAGAGATCTTATATTATAATAAATCGTAAGTTGATGTATGACATTACAATGTTTAAAAGATAAAGTATGAGCTTTTTTATTTGATCCAAATGCTAAATCACATGGGGCATCAGGTTGTTGAAAAATGAGTTTCTAGCCAACTTATTGACAGCAATCTCAAAATTTTGTATTTATAGACACGATTACTTCGTTTATTATTTATTTACTTAATCTTCTTCTACAGATGAAAATGGTAAATTGCATTGTATAGTGGAATGGTGCCCACGTCATCACATGTAGCCTTCTACATGCTGGGCTATGCAGAATTGCGTATTAATCTTTTGGACGTGGATTGTCTGTCCTTCCCATCCTATACCCTTCCCATCTCTTCTTATTTCTGTGATCACGGTTAAGCCACGTCAACATTTTATATTTATATTGTTTTTTGTCTTATTATTTCTATAAAAAAAATTAATATAAAATATTGACGTGGCTTAACCGTAACCACATAATATAGAAGGGGATGGGAAAGGTATGAGATGGGGAGGACAAACAATCCAGGTGCTAATATTTTACTATGGTGAAATTACAATTATTTCCCCATTGTGTTTGTACATCATGTAACATTGAACAATTAAAAATTACGTAATATAAAATATTTTGAAGTACTATATAATTTTTTGAATGGAAGACGAAAGTAGCAATATTCGAATCCCTTCCATCAAATCCTCTTAATTTATAAATTTGGACATTAAAAATTTGATCAAATGGTTAAAATTATTATAACTTTTAAAAGAGTCTCTTTTTTGTAACTGTTGTATCAAGTTTCAAAAACCCGAATTTATGAATATAGAGGATTTGATGGAAGGGATCTGGAGAAGATCCCTTTCCAATTACATATATCATGTGTGTAGTCATCCAGAAAATAAGCAGGATGTCATGTTGATGTGAAGGAGACTTGATAAACTTGTATAGCCAGCTGTCATAACGCTAGAATATGTATATGAACAAATCATTCAACTCTTATGTCGCTATATAGGAAATTAATAGAAAATTTTAGTCATTAAAAAATCAATAATTCAAGTGCAAAATTAAAATATTAAATTATATATACTAAAACCCAGTTGGGGACCCCATTGTTCATTAATAGTGTCTGGACGGATTTGCCCCTCGGTTTCTTCTTGATCACCTGTTGTGTGCCCTCTTTTACACATTGAAATGACCACTTTGTCCTCGCTGGCCACGCATTCTTCATCGATGGCCTTTCCTGTTGGATTTCTCTGCTGTTTCATTCTCTACCTTCCATTTCCTGCAATCGCTTTTTTCTTTTTTTTCTGCTCCACATCTACACGTGTTGGTCATCGTGGAAAGAAAAGTGGTGGAAAGCCGACGAGAGCAGTGGAAAAACCCATTTGCTTCCATTTGCTGATCTCAAAAAGGGCATCCCCCCATCACTGTTCTTGAGTTCTTTTGATGAAGTTTTCTCTTTCTGACTTTCTTGCTAAAAAGAGTAAATTGTAGCTATGGTCCCTTAACTTTAACTTAATTAGGGCAATGGTCCCTCAACTCAAAATCAATTACCATTAGTCCCTCAACTTTAATTCAACTGGAGAAATGGTCTCTTAACTTTAACCCAATTATAGCAATGATCATTCTAGCATAACTCGTTTTGACAAAAATTTTGACGTAGTTGACGAAAATGACCATAATTACACACTTTGATGAGTTGAGGGACCCTTATTATATAAATGGTTATTCCAACATAACTTATTTTTACAAAATTTTGACGAAATTGATGAAAATGATTATAACTACACATTTTGATAAGTTGAGGGACCAATAGTAATGAATTTTTAGTTGAGGGACCATTGCTCTAATTTGATTAAAGTTGAGGGACTATTGCTACAATTTACTCTGCTAAAAACGACGAAACCAGTCAAAATTTGTGCAGATGCTTTTTATTTTTTCAATTGATGCTTTAGCAGTTTCTATTATCTACTTTTTCGGGTATAAATTGTATCTATAATTTCAAAATACATGTTCTTCATGACAATCTATGGTATTTATTAAATAATTCATGTTAAAGTAATTTTTTTTCCCTTCCCTTCACTGCAGTCCTGGCGAAAAGCACGTGCAGACTTACAGCAGATGCACTATGCATGTAAGTAAAACATTTTACTATCATGTCTTTCTTGGTTAGTGATTCTGGTATAGCTGATTGATGTGAATGTCAATTGTGTGGTTTTTGTCCCTGGCTTTATGCTTAATGCAGTGTCTTTTCTATATATACAATTTTCTCCTTCAGTTTCTACTGTTTTCGTTTTTTTGAGTTATGTATACTATTGATGTTGTTACTGTAGCTTGAGAAGTTGAGCGATATGCAGTGCCAACTTGAGTCACAGTTGAAGTTCATTACAGAGGTCTGGCTACAGGTGCACCACAAATTACCACACTTTTCTATCAAGAGTATTGCTTTTTTTTTCTTTTTTTTTTTTTATTATTATTAAATTTTCTCCATTTTCAGATAGTTGAATGTAGTCGAGTACTAAAATTGACATATGCTGATGGATGTTATTTGCTGGAGCATGAACATGCCAAGTTGTTTTAAGTATTTGCAAGGTATGTCATTTTCTCAAAGCTCAAAGAGAGACAAGGCATCATGTTGCTTTGTCCTAATTTATTTATGTTTCTGCAGGTGAAGATGAGCCTGGGTTGGAATGGGTTCATCAATGTGCAGAAAATGAGCTACAAGTTTACCTCAATGATAAGGACATCAAAAGATTTCAATGAGTTTCGCACAAAACTAGCTGGATTGACCAGGTTATGTTCCACTAAAGATATTACACTACTTTTCTGATTGGATAAGTTGATTCGGGTTACAATGATATAGCTTTTCAGTTTATTCATACTAAGATATTAGTTTTGCTAAGTGGCAATGCCATGATTGAAATTTTATAGAAGTGATGAATGGGCCAATCTGAAATACTAAATTTCAGCTGATGAACTCACTCTTATTATGACTATTATTGCATATACTCATTTTTTATTTCGTTGGGTTTTATTTTTTTTTCAATTTTTTTTGGTTTCGCAAAGAACTGAATTTTATCTTATCTATAGCTTTGTACGCATGTAGTTTTTCTCTTTTTCGGTTTCGAGTATTTGGTTGGTTTTATTTAACAATCTTTTGGAATATAGAGAATCTTTGCACCAATGTCTTATTCCTAGATTTCCTGATGAATTGGCATTGAGATGTTAAGCAAAGGTGCCCCCTGGGAACCACAGATTGCTCGAAACTATCTCAAAGAAGTGGAGAGATTTGTTACGTAGCTCCAGACTATGCCAACTATGAAGCTCTAGAAAAATGGTGCGGAAATTGACTGTTTGTCATTTACGAGGTATAATCCAATAGCTAATAAGTGTGCTTCTATATTCGACACTTCAAATATGTCTAGAACTCATGTTGTTATTACGACTTTCATTTTTACAGAAGGAAAGTTTTTTCGTTCTTCATTTCTTGCTATATCATCTTGGGTTGTGCAAACTATTCATTATAGGGGATCCTTTCATGTATATAGTTGTTTCTTGCTAAGATTTCTGCAAACTATTTTTGTTATGTCGAAGTTGAAATCTTATTTTAGGGTTGTAAATAGATTTCATATGTATATAAATAGTATATATACACATTATAATTTTCTACATATTTTATACGATTTTAAAACTCGCAGCACAGCGTGGGCACGTTTACCAGTCTATACGAATACCCACTACTAGTGAACCAGAACTTACTAATTTGAAGATTTGTCATAATGTTGGAAAATGGATATGAAACCAATAATTCAACTCTTATGTCGCTATATAGGAAATTAATTGAAAATTGAAGTTCTTGAAATTTAATAATCAAGTGCAAATTATATAAAAATAAAAAATAAAAATAAAGTATTACTATGTCCACTCCTCTTTCTTATTTCCTCACCCCACTTGCTTTGTCACCCACAATTCTAGACAAACGATATTTTTACTACTTATTTTTATCATTCACCGTTAAAAGTAAGAAAATAAAGAAATCATATTTTTATCACCTCTTTGTATTATCTCTCTAATAGATATGAGACCCACATGGGTTGGCGAGCCTTACCTCTATTAAAGAGATAATACAAAAGATGGTACAAATAAATGGTAAGTGTAGCATTACTCAAGAAAAATATAATACTATTTTTACACCCACCATTATTCCTAAAATAAGATTATATATTAAAGGGTGAATTACCAATTTAGTCTCTAAATTATCACCTGAGTGAAAATTAGATCCATAAACTATTTTTTCAGAAAAGTCTATCATTGAATTATAAAAATATGCCAATTGCATCCTTAATATAAATTAGATCCATAAGTCATGTTACTTGCATGTGATATATATTGGAAAATAGATGAATATTTTTCATATAGAAATAGTGTATGGAGTTAACTTTGGAGGGTAAATTACGTTAGATTCGCAATTTATAAGAAATGATAAGGGCTTATAGGCAAAAAAAAAGAACGGTATTACAATCTAAATTGTGTCAAATGACTTAAGTTGACGAATAATTGGATAAAAATAGCTTTGATTATAATATTAGGGATAAAATTAGCAATTTTTTGATGAATTTAGGGATTTATTTTATCAAAAAAATATTTCAGATGCCTAAATTTCATTGAGATGATAATTCAGTGACTAAATCGACATTTCATCTTATATTAAAAAAACTCCCAACCACATGTTGGAGTGTGCAAAAATAAGCCACACAATGATTTCCCCAAAATACACCCGCACAACCACCACCAACACAGCGCTGCGCCTTCCCACCAACACCCAGAGCCAACCCCAATCCCAAATCTTGTAGAACCACCACTAGACTTGTAAATTGGTCGGTTTTATTGGGTTCAGATCAGTTTTAACCTGACATGTTAAGATAATGGGTCATTCGAATTTAACCCGTTAAATTAACGGGTCACCAAAACCTAACTCGTTAAGCTAATGAGTCACCCGTTTAACCCATTTCACCCATTAACAATTTTTTTTTTTTTTAATTTTACATTCCAATACTAATTACATGTATTTTGTATTGGGTTGCTAAGAAAACGAAATACAATCTCATTTTCCCACACTAACCCACATTTTACATCCGTTTTTCAGCTACCAAACATAATAATAAAAGCATAACTTATTGACCATCGTTCATTGTCCTTCCTATGCCGGCTGTAAAGAAGAATCACATCTGGGCATTCAAAAACCTTCAAAAGAAAAAAAAAAAAATTATTATTAACACTCTAAAAATCTCATTTGCGCTTCAAACTTTTTATAATTAGAATGAAAAATGTACTTATGAGGAGTACATAATGAGATTTTTAAAATACTAATAACAATTTCCAAACAAAAACCCAAAACAAATATAAAAATAAAAATAAAAAAACAATATAATCATAAAGAATTGAAAGAAAAAAAAAATTCAAAAAAATTCAAATTTTAGAAATGAAGAAGGTACCCACTAGATCAAACGGAGAGTATGAGAAGTATGAGAAGGATGGAATGGACATTGTGGGCCACCCAGAAAGGTATAGCCAACCCGAAGCCAGAAAGCAGGTGGACCACCAGTGCCTCCGCCGTGGATATTGCTTTCGAGGAGGGAGGAGGGTTTAGCAGCTACTCTTTGTTCTTCTTCTTCATTGTTGCTTTTTGAAATAAGCTACTTCTGCAAAAAGCAATCTCCTTTGATTGTTGGCTATTCAATTGTGTATTTGTAATTGGAGAATATGAGAGATTTGATGTAGAAGAAGAATAGGAGAGTGGAGGTCAGGACGACGGTTGTCTCCGAATCTTATTCCTTATTGAAATTACGCAAACACTCTCAATTTACAAACGTTAACAGGTCATGCAGCAGACACAAAATGACCGCGTTATTTAACGGGTAATTATCGGGTTTTCTCGTTAATGACCCGACTGGTTAAACATCCACTCAAATAATAATTTTAACAGGCGGGTTGGGTCGAGTTTACGGATTAAGTCTAAAATGCTAGGTCTAACCATCACGACTCCCAAGTCTCCTACCTCCACCCATCTAGGCCTTCTCTGTACATAATTTTTAGTCATCGAATTCGAATGAATATGACAAGCTATTGTGTGTGAGAGATGGGAAACATGAAGTGCACAAAGAACTTCATCTACATCATATCCAGCACAAGAACATGGCAGTCCCATACTTAAATTAGCCTCAGACTTCCTCAGCCAAGGCATCAAGCCAGTGATGGGTTGGCTGGGAGGGAGAAGTTGGGTGATGGGTTGACTACCAAGGTTGATTACGGGGTTGACGAGCATTTGTTTCATTTTTAATTTTATTTAGAAGCTTCCTTTATTAAAATAATTTTTTGATTAGGTCCTTTAAAGTCATTTTATGTGAGGCAAATTTATCAACAAAATATTCTATTTAATTTAAAGTAGTGAGAAAATAGAATAATGGGGTGAATTTAATATCACTCTTAAAACAATAATCTCTACCAATACCCACTACAATTGAACCACCACTTATTAATTTGAAGATTCGTCATTTTTTTTATCTTTCTATTTATAGTTGACAGCACAAGCAGTTAAAGTTTTAAATTCCGAAAGTCATTAAGTGAATGCTAGTTGTTATTTTTATAAGAGTTGAGTGTAACAAAGTTCTTTAAACTATACCATAAATTTAGTTTTGATCTCTAAACTCTATTAATTGTTGCTTTCGTCCTCGAATTGTCCCGTATTTCACTTGTGATCATTTTTATTAACTTCATTAACTATTATGGTGACATATATTGACATTTTTTTTTGAACAAATGATGTTATCTACAATAAGGAGAGGGGATGACTTAGTCTCACAATAAACTAGTAATAATGTGTTCAAACTCAACTTTTGCGAGAATCGAAGATAAGATCTCTTACTTACAAATGAAGAAGAATATCACTAAACCGTATTACTAAGTGATTGTGTGAAATCCCGTTTCCGGATTTCACTGTTATAATCTACGTATTTGTATTATTGAGATTTTATATTATTTTTCGAGAATTTATATTAATTTATTTGAAATTAGATTTCAATTAAACTAGTTATGAAGAGTGAAGTTTGGAAAATTATTATTTACTCATTGACCTTTCGAGGTCACAAGTAACGTTTTCGAATAGGTCTCAAAGCCACGAGCGCATAGGCGAAAACCGTTTGTGAGTCCGGATTATAACGGTATAGTTGCAGATGTTTGAAGTTGTGAAACTTTAGGTTATGAAAATTATTTAATTTCCACTAGAGGGTAAAAGGCCCAAATATATAATTGGGTTAAGGGAACCGGCTAGGAGGATTAGAAAAGAACGAATGAGGAGAGGAGAGAGAAGCTGAAGTTCTCCCCCCCTCATTTGTCAACATGTGCACCCACAAAAAACGGTTTCGACCCGCCCAATTTCAAGCTAAAATCCTTCATTTTTCAGGCGTTTTGCACCCATTCATCACCTGCAAACTACTCAGCTATCTTCCTCCTTCCATCTCCACCAAAAATCAAGGGTTTTTAAGGTCTAATTCTGGTAGAACTCCACCGGAGAACCTTCTCGATGGCGATTCGTCATTCCGGTGAGTATCACCATGCACCATCACCCTTAATCAACTTCCCTCCAGGAACAAGACCCAACTGGTGGTTAGGGCGTAGGAACACCAAGGAAGTCGAATTGAAGAACACCCACCTTAGGGTTCCGGCGGTTCGTGGCTAGTTTGTGGTGTTTTCCGGCCAAATTAGTCTTGGCTGTAAGTATAAAGTTTACTCTACTTGTTGAGATCTTTATTCTTGTGAAATTTGAGAATTTTTGGAAAAAGTCAAATTTTCCGATATGTAACATTCGATTTATGAAATGTTGTTGGCTGAGTATATTTTCGATAAGGTCCACCACTTGAATGTTCTAACAATTGACGATCTTACCATTGAATTGACACCAAATTTTAGTATGCTATTGTAGATATGGTTTACGGACCTTAGGGTATTACTAGTGAAAATCTA